GAGTCAAGTTCCCTTGCATTCTAGATCATACTCAAATTCTTTAGCAACACTAAGTTCTTCAATATTATTGGGTTATTGAACTTATATTGGTAATTTTGGCTCGAGTTGGCTGTACAAATGCACCAGCTTGCAAGTGCACTTGCACAGCCAACGAGTGCCAATATTCACAAATACATGAATAGGTTCAGTAACTCCTTTATTTTATAGGTTAAACATTTCCAATTGAATTATATTATTTCAATTAAATAAACAAAATTGATGAGAATTTTTCAGTATCGATATTCAAATTAAAACTGCCCAATGCCAACATCTTTTCTGTAAAAGTTCAATATCATATCACTCCAATGACCCTACCAAGCGTTATGATATACTTTTTAAGGTTTTAATTGAGGCTAATAGGTACTAAATTATTATTTGATAATTTCAATTTTGTGCGAAATTAGACAAATCGTACCTAGCTGCCACTTCTTTTCATGAATTTTATGGGCGGTTGACCAGACGACAATTTGTTTACAACGGGGCATTCGATAATGAACGCTTGCATTCGAAATGTTACGGAACATACTTGAATACGTTATACAAACTCAATACTCAATAAAACGCCAAGATATTGAACGCTTAAATTATGTAGACTTTTAGTGCGTTTTTTTTTATTATAGACTATTTATTAGCTATATAATATAAAAATTCTTATCATTCAACCTTTAAATCTGACTTGAATTATACACAATTCTGCATACATATCTATATAGATATGCGCCTGTAATATTGAATGGGAGTAAAAGTCTTTTTTTAAAGCCGAATCTTTAAACCCATAGATTCTTTCATTGATGTCATGATATCATCAAAGGACTTTAGAGCTTGATTTCTGTTCGTTTTCCCCGTATTTCATTTGAAAATACAACAATGCAAATAATGAGCAGAGCCAAAACGGACCTCTGAAAACAGAGGTTGGATCAGGCGGCATGGCGTAGTAAGCATCCCCCTCCGACCGGTCACTTCTGCCGAGTGCTCCCTTTCATGATCGGGTAAACGGAAAAAATCTGTCATTTAGTGTGAAAATAATGGCCTATCAATTTGTCTGAAAAACGTCAGTCAATATTGGGCCCATGGATGGATTATAATTGCAAACATTGTCGTTGTTTCGAGAACATAATTTATAGTATAATCAGACACATCGAAAAAAGGCCCAACATATGCACTTAATAGATTATAAGGAGGGCAGACCTTGGTGTTAGGAAGTTGCTGAAACATACTATTAGATTGATGGTACAGGTGAGAGTCTTTAATTTGACAAATTCAAGGTAGAGAAAATAGTTTAAAACATTTAAAATAAAATGAACTTATAAATTTGCAATAGACAGGCAATATAAATATCACTCTTTGATACATGTACCAACACTCTGAATAGCTGATTGAAAGATCATGGAATCATGGAATTCTTTTCTTTTCTTTTTTTTTGGAAATGTCAATCAAGATAGGAATTCAAGAGTGGTTATGCTTTTCTCACTTGCTTGGAGATTTTAGCAAATAACATATAGTTTGATAAGCTTGAATTTTATACAAATATATATACATTTTCTAAGTAGATGTGCAGTATCCTCTGTCGACGTTTACTGTATGATTGAAAATCTACAGGTCCTTTGATTATTTTAGACGTTTACAGTATCAATTCAAAATCGCAGGACATCTAATTGTTTTGGCGAAGCTTGCATTCGTTTGAACTGCTGTTTTAGTTTGGAAACTAAAGTAATTAAAGAATTATTTCAAAATTGAATGTACCATATCAATTTTGAAATTCTTTTTACGTGACAGATAAAATTACGTACATTGTACATTTTGATATTTCAGAAAAAGGTATATTTGGTATCAAAATTGTTGTTCTCAATGATGAATATAATTTAATATTTCTTCGCTTCTCAGAAAAGAAATCGTCAATAGACCGTCTTATCATAGCTTCACCTGCACATTTTATATTCCACAAAGTTTTGTTTTCAAAGGACATCACAAGCAACAGAAAATTGTATAATTGATGGACCTCGATTGATTACGACGAAAACCATGAGAAAACTACATCCTGGTCATTGAAATTACTGTCTTTTCCTCATAACTAAAACAAATCAATTATTTTTTTTTTTCAAATAGAATAACGTTTAATTAAATTTCTATTATATAATCATTGTGTAAAAAAGTTTTATTTCTGGTAGATGAAAAGCAAAATGTTTATTCCCTGTCAATATTATTCCTTACAGAGTAAACAGACGTAAAAACAAATGTAATTAAACGATAATGTTTCTACGTGTACTTAATTGACAAGGACTGGGAAATAATTCATGGTAGGTCAATTTTAAATAGCATATTTAATTATCTATTATTAGATATGTTTGCTTTAATATTTTGTAAAATATATATATTAAAAAAAATTAAGATTAATGATTTTCTTTATATATTTGATGATGCATGTAAATCTCCTGCTGATTTCAGTCATAAGACAACCAAAAGACCAACAAAGTAATGAACGACTAACTGTGGTTTATCTCGGGTGATTTTACCTAATGAACTTGGAATAATATTGATAAACATTATCTTTTATTCTAAACTTTAAAGCCATTCATTTTCATTATTGATATCACAGGGATAAATATAAAAGCACTTTTTCTCTAGTTCAATGTCTTCTGTGACGCACCGGGATTTTTTGCTTTAGAAACCAGAAAATATCCATGACACGTTTCACCGATACTTCTAAAGATTATTTAAAATTTTACGTACACGAACTTCCGAACGAAGGAACTTCTAAACTTTGAAAATAGGACTTTCTAACCCCTGCGTTTGCTTTGTTTCTGTTCAGAGAGAGAGAGAGAGAGAGAGAGAGAGAGAGAGAGAGAGAGTTGCAGAAATCAATGTGGTCGATATCTATATATTTCATGCACCAGTGGTTGTCAAATACAATAGGTTTAAAGGTCGTCATTCCGATTAGATTCTGTTTATTCCACGCCAGATAAGCATCAAAGAGCTTAAATTTTCTCTCAATATTGTCCTAATGAGGACAGAAATTAACAAAAGATATGCATAATTAAGCAGCTTACCGCCAGTTTGTTAGTTTACGCTCCATCTTTCTGACTGGCATTTAGGACATTATATAGACACAAAGAGCCGTCAGGATTCCATTTCTTCCGGTTTACGTCAGCGGCTTTTTTTATGCTTCATTAAGGAATATGCTACACGAATATTCACGCTTCACTATACAGACAATAAATATATGATTACAATATTATTCAAGTTTATTTTTACTTTTTACATTTAACGATCTTTTTGTTTTGATGAATAGTTCATTTGCTCTTTACTGATTTTGGGTATTCATTTACAATGTCGCATTTACAAGTACAATCACACTCCTTAGTTAAAGTTCTGGCTAGTGTTCTTGTTTTTCTTCTTTCACTCACATAATGACTGAATTTAGACACGTCATGAATAGAACTCTGAACGATATAAGTATTCGTGTTTTTCCAAGAGAGAGAATGATTATGTAATTTGGTGACAATAGTATATGGTTGATAACAATATACGAAAACAATTATTTGACAATGATAACAATAATATTATACAATTATAACATAGTTTATATAACGTTTGTAAAGAATAAAATGAAAAAAAAAAAGATGAAGATAATGAACAATATCACACTGATAGATCCTGTAAGCAATATGAAACGTGAACAAGATAAAACTGTACACCTCCTGGGAACTCCTAGGAAATAAGCATCATCTGTCGGTCATACATGTCGTGTTCCTTATGTATTGATCAGGTAAAGAAGTTTATCCACAGTTGAAATTAGTATTTACACAATAGCTTAAACATGTCAGTAATGAAATAAACAATCAGTCAAAACACAACCAAACAATAGACAATATTTGGAAACAAAGGTCATTTTAACGAACAAAGGTTTTACTATACGTTGATTTCAATGACAAAGGTGAAGATAATGTACAGTGATCGATCTCATAAACAAGAGTGTGGAAAATTATTTTGCTATACCTTTAAAAATTTGTTCCTATATAAATCATTACTAATAAAAGTCTAACATTTCCAATGTTTTACTGAGCGGGCATAAAAAATCGATGTTTGACCGCGGAGTGAGATATTGGACCTGTCGATGAGATGTTGGACCGCTTACGTCACATAATAGGCGGGGTCAGCTAAATCTTATTTGCATTCGTTGGTGGTCGACATACATGTATGTCCAAAAAAAAAAAAAAAATAAATGGTATAACAAAACATTTATTGACTACGTTCTCGGGCAAAGTGATTTTTGTCAACCCCTCCTTGTAGACTCTGTGGGTTTTTTTTATTTCGAATAACAGAGATGAAAATCATTCATAACAATTTTTTGATCCACTAGGAATTAAAAACAGCATCAACCATTTAACTATGATTTTCTATTTAAATTTATTCATAATTTTAAATTGATTATCTTTAAAAAAAAAAAAAGAAAAAAAAGAAAGAAAGCCAATATTCATTGCAAAGCAGGGATATTAATTAATTCCAAACTATGAAGAATTATTTTCTTCTTTCACGAAGGAGAGAATAAGAATTCACACAGCCTTACAGAATCTATTTTCATGGGTTAATTATTACCACTGTTACTATGAGCAAAACGCCCTTCATCATTTTTTTTTAATTCATGACTACTTGGGTCTAATGTATGGCTTTCTTATTTGGTGTATATTGTTTTCTATGAAAAAAATATTCTGATAAATCTTTATGTTTACACCAAAACATCTAATATGCAAATTTCATGCATTATTACGATACAACTGAACTTTCTCCAAATTCCTATGTATATAGCTTTGAGTATATAATTTATTCTTTCTTTTCACTCATTTCTGGAGGATTCTTTTCATCCATTTTGTATTATTTTTATTATATATGTGGCACTAATTATTGTTTATTGATTTCTTTCCTTTAGGTTGGTAACACAGCTTTATCGCTTCACTTGTAAGAATTTATCTCGCAAAGTTTATCACGCAACAATTCGGTAGGAAGAGAGAAGCACCAACATTAAAAATAATTTCTTTGACAGAGCTATAGCCTAATCCAGATTTCGAAGTCTCCGGTTTTTCCAAATTTAGAACCATGATCTCTTTCGCATACTCCAGAGACATTTCTTGAGTGACAGTATGAATGTATCGATGAATGATTTACAAGAAGTGGAAACCGATTCACTTCCTAAAATCGAGCAGATAGTGGAAGGATGCATCTTGACAATCATATCACTGGGAGCCATTCTTGGAAATACAACTATGTGGATTATAATTTGTAGAAATCGGGACCTGAGAACTATCACCAATACGTTCATTCTAAGTCTGACCACAGCGGACCTCTTTGTGGCCGTAATTAATATACCAGTGACGGTACTAAGTCTATTTCATGGCAATTGGCCCTGGAGTGAGAGTGTCTGTCAATTCTTTGGTTTTACAAACATGCTTACTTTAGTGACAAGTGTCATGTCTTTATGTAATATCAGTATTAACAGGTATGTTATGGTCTGTAAACCCGTCTACTTTAAAAGAATCTACACAAAGAGAAATGCTGCTCTAATGATTTCGGGTAAGTCATTTCTTAACTAAATCTCTGAAGTACAAAATTTGTTAAAATAGAGTAAATTCCTTTAATATCTTTTAACCAAAAGTGTTAAACAGTGGTCGTTTGATGAGTAGATTGTAAATTATAATCCAAAACTATACTTTTCATCCATTCTGTTAAATCATAAACATATTTTTAGCGTAGATTGAATTAAAAATAAAATCATGCAAGAATATCATTAGGTGCAATTTTTACTTTTTTTACTTCATTTCTTGCCTTACTTTAAAGTGAAATTTGTGATTAATGTAATATAGAGAAGTTCACTTTTGCAACATTTTCATGATAATATCTTGGTTATTAATTTACATTGTTCAGTTCTATATAATGCGCTAGGGTATTTGGCCAAAAAAACATATTTTGATTACAAATACAAAAAAGTAGTCTTTAAAAGAATGTCGATATATTATTTTTGATAAAAAAAATTTCACCAATTCAGAGGTGTTTATAATTTCGACAGTAGGTAAGTAAATTCTTAAGCAATATAGAAATTGTAACTGGTATAAATATTTTCTTTTCTTAAAAAAATTGTCATTGTTTCAGGTTGTGTTTTAATCTCAATGTTCCTGTCGAGTTTTCCGATCTTTGGCTGGGCAGAATATGCGTTTATAAAGACACAGATGTTTTGTTTTTGTGACTGGACTAAGGCGCCATCTTATGCTTTCTTCATGATTTCTGTTTGTTTTGGAATTCCATTTGGTGTTATGACAGTATGTAACGCCTTTATATTTAGAACAGTCAGAGCGAGCAAACGTCGTGTAACAGCAGCCTCTAGTAATCAGGGTTCCTCTAAAGTTGATGAGCAAGAACTTAATTCAAGCACTCCAAATACAGTGACAAAAGATGACGTATCAAAACCTCATGACGTCACAATATATATTAACGATCGATCTTCCTTTCATCAAAGCGAAAGCAATCGTGCAGAATGTCAATCAAGTCCCAACACTAATAATAATGGGAAATACTTAAACAGAAAGAATACGACCTTGACCAACATGAGTAAGAAAAAGTCAAGGACGGGTAAATCAAGGACAGAAGAGGTACGACTAGCGATGGTTCTAGCTATTGTGGTACTTTTATTTGTTATATCATGGCTTCCTTATTGTGTAAGCATGTTGCTGGAAATTTTTGCTAAAGACAAGGTTCATAGTGGGTTTCATATGGCCACGATCATGTTGGGTTATTCAAACAGTGCTATTAATCCCATTGTGTATGGAGTGATGAACAAGAAGTTTGGAGATGGGTTCAGACGTCTTCTATGCTGTTGTCAGAAGTTTTAATTTGGTGTTCAAATATTTGTGCTGTTAATCTTTGGAGTCATCTTTGTTTTACTTAATATTGTACAATTTGTATCTTTCGAAAAGTAGACCTGTCATTTGTTTCCAGTTAACTTTGTATTGAGAGTTTGTTCTCAAAATTAATCAATCTTTGAATAAAATAAGATATGACCAAGGTTTAATCAAACGTTTAAAGAGTTTTATTAACAAATTTAATTATTTTAGTTAACAAAGCCCTTTTCCTTCAAACTGAGTACCTACAAAGATGAATTCTCACCTGCAAATTCGATGTTCGTTTATTTGCCGGTATTTGGATATTGATGCAAGCAAATCGTTACAAGCATTGTACTTGGATGTTGCATATTATATTCTTATCCAAACTTTAGAATCGCAACATAGATATTTATCTAATATTTTATTAATAATCTAGATGCCACATACAAGGATATGCAAAGATATATTATCTTTTAAATAAATAGTATTTTTAAAAAAGTTGAACCTGATTTAAGACACAGGAACGATCTTGAATCAGCACTTTCCATTTCTGTAATCAGGGTTTTTTCTTTTTCTTTTTCTTTTTTTTTTGTTAAATTCATTAATGAGTACACAGTGAATCCTACTGAAGTAAATGATTAAGGAACGTTAACACAGGTACACTTTTTTCTACGTATTTCCTTTTAAATAGATATGAATGACATAGTATTACAAACACAGATATGGTTCCTTTTATAGAATTTTATAAATCTGGCCCCAGGATCATGAAACTTCTTAGGCTTAAGTCAAAATCTTTATATTTTACTTGATTGTTGTAAAAGTCAAGCAGATCAAAATCAAAATATGTTTCAATATTGATTTTCGAAAGTGTTGTTATTTGCAAATCTTGAGATTATTTTAATAATCAATAAACATTTTACAGGCGACTGAAAATTTTACTTAATTCTAAGTCTGTTTCATGATCCTGGGGCCAGGATTATAGTTTTGCCTTCGAAAGCTCGGTAATTACCCAATCAACATATTTGACGTTTGGTTTGATTAAAAAAAACTTACGATCGAAGCTTTCACTCGAGTTTTTGGATTTTCTCAAAGCCAAACTTTCGAATAAAAAATCTCATCTCGAACTCTAAGCAAAACTTTTCATATGAAATATTTTTGTAGACTTGTTATGGTACACTGTACTGTTTCTCTGTTATCGTGTGTCTTTTTTGTTTTCAACCATAAAGATGTTTTCTCAGTGTCAGTGGTTATGGCACTTTTCCTATGTTTTTTTGTATTTCATCTTCTGTTATGTAAACACAAGGACTGTACAATTTGAAATTTCAAAAAAAAAAAAAAAAAAAAAAGAAAAAGAAAAACAAAGGTTCTTTAAACACTTTTTGTCCTTGAAGAAGCTAATTTTAAAGTTAACTTTGCAAGTACTGAAAAATCACTCGTTTTCGTCGGGTCAAATTGTCGTGGGTTAAAGGAAAAAAATTGTTTCGAGAGGATTTAATTTCATTTTTGAAGAAGAGACATAATATTGTAGAGGAGATGAATTCTTCATAACAAAAAAAAAAAAAAAAAAAAAAAAAAAAAAAAAAAAAAAACAGCGAAAATCTCTCTCTCCCCCCCCCCTCCCCCGTAAAAGTGATTTATGGATAAAAGCGAACATTCCAAAAATATTCGTTGAATTGTTTTTGACTCGATCTCTTGAAGTTCAAGAGAACTTAAAACGTCCGTGAGAAAGAGGAATTCGAGAGATCTAAAGAGGAAAAAACATTTCGGGTTTACATGTAATTATAATAGTTCAATTATTATGTTTAACGGAAGTATTTTGTTTGAAAATATTTTTTTTTATTTTTAGTGATTTACATTCCTGTTGTACAGGTAATTCAGTTGAGTTCAACAACAAAGATCGTTTTTTCATAAAATGATAAAAACATCTTTCAATTTTAGTATTTATTTATTTTTTTTATCATTTTAGTACTATTATCAGATTATTATTATCAGATGGTATTTGGCTCAAATAACACGTCTGATTTCCCCCGAGTTCACTGGGTCCTTCCGCAGATTTCACGATATCGCTTTTCGATCATTGAGATTTTAATTTTTTGCGTGAGTGTGTAGAAATGGAATGAAAGTTCGTAATTTATGGGAATTATTGGACTAATGAATCATGTTTATATAGGATTATTTTGTTTAAAAATTTGCAACAGCATTTTTTCTTTGAAGAACAATCTTTTATCATTCCAATTTTTATAAATGTGCATCTGATGCTATGGGAGAATGATTCCTCCTCTGATGCATAAAAATGCTGAAGTTTTAAAGATTATTGACAAGCTTTTCTAAGTGAATTTGGACATTTTTCTAAAACTCTTAGTTTTTAACAAGAATTATATTTTGTATATTAAGAATTTATGTTAAGTTTTAACACTACTTATGTTTTCCCCAGAAGACTATATAAAATCAAATTACATTATGACAATTTTACATAATTTTGCATCATGATAATTTTTTAAGTTGTGTCTTTTTGTCAATAAAATATATGTCCAATTCTTATCAGAAATAGAAGTGTATCATAAAAGACTTATAAACGCATGTTCATGTAATTATAAGTATACAATCACAGCCACTTTTTATTTTTATATCATGCATTTTTAAAGTGACACCGTGACGGACAATCGGGAAAATTGACAAAAGTAGAATTTTTGCAAGACACATGCATATCTTATTCAATTCTTAAAGTATTAGGTTTCAGAAAATTACAGGTTTCAGAACCTAAAAAATCTACTTTTATGGAGAAATATATGAATAAAAATAATGTTTGCCCCAACACGAAAATATTTCTTCACTTCTTCCTCTTTAAGGTACGCATGCGCAGAAAAGTTAAGGTAGTTACCATGGTGTCAATTCCATAGATATAAATGTTGAATGACCGAGGATTTCGATGTAATCTTCATAAAAGATGGTCAGAACTTATTCCTCACTATGGATTGCTCCAATTCAATGTTGCTTACAAGTTTCATGCTAAAAATAAAAGACACATGACCTTGACATTGTTGACATTGACGATAACAACCACGCCATAGATACAACTTTTCTTTTTCCGCCACTTACATTTTGCAGTCTTTTCTTGCTTTTACCGTGCAGATGAGATCTCAAAAACTTCGCCTTGTTCATATTTCTCATAAATCTTTAGCTTTGTGATATAATCTTAAAAGAAACACATGTTATTGACTCACTAAGTAACTTTAATAGTTCTATTAACTAGTATTTCTGCAAATTAAATTGTTTTTCTTTTCATTGTTTACATCTCCTAATTGTATTAGTAAAGTAATAATCCAAATATATTCCGTTGTTTATTGTCAAAAAAATTATTTATCTCTATATTTAAGTAATTCAATTATTTATTCAATTATTTATTCATTTATTTATTTATGAAAATCATTCTTAACATTGTCTATTCTCTTTTCTTACTTGTGATTAAAAATGTAAATGAATTAGAATATTTTTTTCTTTTTAAAATTTGTATGTATTTTGTTTTTACATATTTTGAAATTTGAAATTTATTGGATCTCATCTATAAAGTATTATTTTTTTTGAATTGTGATTATAAACTAAGAAGCAATTTTCTTGAATTTATCTGTAAAACATGTACTTAAAAGCCATTCAGTGTAATGACTTGAACCGTGTCTAGCCTAGTCCCTAAATCTCTCCAAACTCTCTATGATGAGAGTCGTCCCCCTCTTTTTTTTTTTTTTTTAGCTCTTCAAAGATTTTCTTTTAACTATTTTGGATTTTCAACGCATGACAATCAATGAAGAGACATAATTTGTTGAAATGTGCATCTGGTGCATCAAAATTGGTACCGTATAAGATTTACATATTTTTAATGAACTTTGAGTCTGAATACTGTTCGTTAGCTCCATATTGCATATAAACTTCCAGGAAAAATTTGGTTGCTATATGTCATTGATACAATGGCAACATGCAGGAAAGTTTATATATAAAAAGCACATACCATGTATTTAGTGTGCAAAAGTTTGCTGCAATGCAGAAAAGTGATATTGACTGCATCCAAAAGATGAAGACTTGACGTTTTCATATGCATGATAACAATATATTTGGAAATCTAGCTATTACGAACGTTACCATGAAAACAAACAATTGAAAAAAGAATAATTTTATTCATTCATTTTGATAAATCATACATTTCAAAAATGCAATCATAAATTGAAATACGATCAAATAATGAGAAGGACCCTTGTATGAAATATAAAGAAAAAAGTGTGATATTTTTTTATGGGTTGGTAACAGTGGCTATGAATGTTTTACCGAAGAGTGCTTGCAAATTAACTTTCAATATGTTTTCATCTGTTTCTATCCTTTTCAGAACGCATATTTCTTTATGATGAAAAAGGAGTTAATTGCAATTTCTGTAACACCAACTTATCTGTTAGTAGCCTGCCATGGCTAAAACATTGATCGTACTCAGAAGATGCTCGCGGGTATCGAATAAGTTGGGAGATGCAAACAACATTTGTATGAAAAAGCGGAATATTACTTTATTACTATAAATAAAAAGCTTGTGAAACATTTGCACTAGTCTTGAAATTTTCAATTATATGAATCGGGTATATAAGGAAGTAATTTGTCCTCCAGTGATCAACTTGGTATTTAATAACGCGTTCTTGCCAATAGGTCAAATTGCGTACCTTTATCTAAATTTCAAAGAGTGATAAATAAATGTTTTTGCAAATAAATCAAACTATGAAAATAAATACTATATAAACAAGTATTTCTACTTCATTCTCTTAACATACTTGGATAGAGATCTAAAAGTCATCTTAACAAGTAAAAGTGGTGAAGATAACAAACAGTGATCGAATTATAAATAGAAACTATAAACAATACAAATCTATGAACAGGGCATAAAACCCCCGAAAAAAAAACTATAGATAGGATCAGGTGCCTATCAGGAACCCCCTCCCCCCCCCCCCCCCAAGAACTATGAATAATAAAGTGTAAAGTAAAGCTGTAATTTTTTTAATGTTCTTTATTTAAAATCACTGAAGCGACATAATTTGTCGAAATGGTGCATCAACATTGGTACCTTATAAGATTTACATTGCAATTTCTCGGACAGCTTATGATAATAAACATCTGTTTATGTTTACCTTAGAGCATATAAAAAGAAATGAAGGTTAATTAGCAAAAAGCATCTGAATATATATCCATATCCGAAGTATGCTGAGTTTTTCTAAATATTTTCGTAATTCATTAAAGTTGGATTCTCTTATCATGCTGTAAGTCAAGAAAAGGTAGATATCTTCCTCAAATCATAGTTCATCTGATTTACAAACCCTCGTGTCGCTCGCGTGGAGCAGTGGTTAGAGCGTCTGTTCTATAGTCGCGGAGTAGGGAGCTGATCCTTACGTCGCGGGTTCGAATCCACTGCAGGGCGTGGAGATCGGTCCTTCGAGTGAAACCGTATATACCGAGGTCCCGTGTCGCAGTAGGTGTTGGCACGAAAAAGATTCCTCACTGCTAAATGGCCTTGAGTGTCGAGCATAGGTATAAATTTGCAGCCCTCCACCGGCATTGGGGGCATTTTCATATGAGTAAAATATTCTCGAGAGGGACGTTAAACAACAAACAAACAAACAAAAAAACGAAGTCTCGTCCCTTTTAAAAAGAAAGAACTGATCAGAAACAATAGTTCACAAACATTTGATCCTCTTTTTTTTGGTACCTTATGATTTACAAAGTTTTTTTTTTCTACAATATTGTACTTCGCCCCATAAATAAAACACATGACATTTCTTCCCTTTATCCAGGCAGTGATTATACAAGATCATACAAAACTGAGATGTAACATAAAAAGTGTTTAAATAAGGAAAGGTTACAGTTTCAGAATAAGTATTATTAAAGCAAGAAACCTCACGTGTTGCTCTCCAATAAGTGTCCTATTGAACCTCTCTTTAAACACACTGCGAAAAGTCTTTGTCATCGTTATTGAGACATTAAGTTTCACAGGTGAATAATTTATTGCTGGTATTAATGGATATCGTGTGAAGCAACTTCTCTAAATTACAAAGAAAGGTCCTAGTGATAATACATAATGCAAACATGTACATCTAAACTCAGCACTAAAATAATATACATACGGGACAAAACACACAACATGTATAATATTGAATTATTTCCTAAACAATGAAGTCGTTCACTTTACTATGTATTTTACAACACTGATCTTCTCCTTATGTGAAATCCAGATTCTTCTCAAACAATCCACCAACAGCATGGTAGGATAAAGAATGTTATCTTTCTGAGAAATAACCAGAGATCGGAATTGACCTTCCTCAGTCAATTGATGGACGCTATTGCCTTTCCAGTTGGAGACCAAGAGCGTGTTATCATGGTCACAGAACTTAACATCAACTGGGATGAAGTTATTGCTTTCAGGGCCGCCATTGTATCTGAATATACAGACATTGTATTTGTCAATTGCAATTACATTCTTCAATCCTGAATCAGTTACGTATAATGTACACCGCGAGGGACTCTCTGCAATTCTGTATGGTTTTCTGAATAGGCGCTGGCCACCAGTACATTGAGATATTATTTTTGCTAGTTTTCCATCTATTGATAGGACATAAACAAAACCATTGTTGTCTGATCGACAACAAACATATATAGTTTTGGAATTGTGTGAACACAGGACACCAAACGTTGGATAGGGTGAGGCATCGAACAACATACTGACATTTTCACCGTCTATTTTCATGATTCTGGATCCCTTACTTTCAGAAGCAATAACCTCTCCGGTAATTGTCGTTGTCATGCTCTGAGCATAAAATGGCAATTCTCTTGATTTCTGCCTTTTGGCATTTCTATCGTAGTAATGTAAAACCTTGTTTGTAGAATATCCTACAATGACGTCGTTGACGCTTGTTTGAATAATTCCAGATACCTTGTGACCAGATCGAACCGGAAGGGCAGGAAATGCAAGTTTTGTTTCGACATGTACCTTTAGTTGTTTTTTATCTTTCATATCGGTAGATATCTGTTTTTTGCTTCCAAGATCAAATCGAATATTACCGTACATTGTACCAATCATTTTTGTCATATCATCCTCGGTGACATCAAACTCGAGCTCCGGAACATTTGTATGAGTACTTTTCATGATATTAGGATATTGTTTGATATTGTCAACTAATCTCATACAATTGTTTTCAATTTGTAACGCGTCACAGATCTCACAAATATCATCAGCATTGTAACGTCGCTGAGCATCTTCTATCAATTTTATTTTATTCTTAATATCCTCTTTCTTTGTATCACCACTCTTCTTGACATTTTCAACAAACCCGTCTACTTCCTGGCAAATCATTTGGTGATACTCCCTTAGTTTGGTCTCAATTAAATGATACCTAATTTCGATTTCTTTTCGAAGAAGCGATACGTCTTGTTCCACCTTTTCTGTCTGTGTGTCAATCTGCTCGATTTGGTTTTTCAGATCCGGAATAATGGACACTCCCTGGTCGATGAGGGATGGTAGTCTTTCTAGAGTATTTTGTAGTAAAGATTGCACATCTTCGCTCACGTGATTGGAATGCTCTTTGAGAGATTCCCCACATATTAATTTTTGACAAGGAAAACAGAAGAAATTGGTTCCATCCTCTGCATGACATGTCTTATTTTGTGACATCTAAATAAAAATAACGTATTTATTACAAAGTTAAGAGTTCTTTGCCTTATAGAATTTTAATTTTTTCTACTGTTCAATTAATTTTGATATGAAATTTTTACAATATAAATTACATCATCACTCCAAAGTATATATATTTTAAATTTAAGATTCCTAATGAAATGTTTCCTCTTAATCATCTGGCTTTAACCATTCCCATTTCCTACACACATGTTTAGTTGGCATGTCTCATTTTTAAAATCAAATTGTAACCTTCTTAGGACTAAAGATCAGCCTATGTATTTTTAATGACCTCATTCAGTATGATGCTTTGATATTTACTACAAGTCTTTCAAAACGTTTCCCACTAAATAAAATACAGAATATCATTTAAATGTAGCCTGATAATTATTTAGAAACTACAAATATTTTGTAATGTAAATGACACTAAAGCATCAATTTCTGAAACTTGAAAACATAATGAATAAGTAAAATACCATTCTTTAACATTCTATGAAGCTGTGAAGTAATAGACATTTTAATGAGCATACACGCACTATTTTCTTCAACATTCATTAAAATAAATGACTGTGTATTGCGCTATTTGATTACGTCGTTACCGTACCGAGTAATGACCTTCAGAAGCCTTAAAAAATAAAGGTCCAGTAAAACACGCTTATTACGAAGTGCTGGGGACGGTCGGTTTTGCTTTCCAAGAAAGGTATCCGAAAATAGACATTTTATAACTTAACGTTATATCTGTTGAGTGCAAAATATATTTTAATGCCACCGAAAGCCATGGGAAATTAAAATCGCTATGAGCGTCAATTCATTATAAGCGTATTTGTTGTACTTTTTTGTTTTTGTTGTTGTTGTTGTTGTTTTACTGTACAATTACTCTTTGTAACTTTATTTAAGGAAAAATTCTAAAAATGTCTTTATTTTTTTTTTTTAATATATTTTGCTTTTATTATCGATTTTATTCTACTGGTTACATAAAGCCTATCTCTTCTCATTATATATTGTACAATTGCTAGTGAATGGTTGTAAGTGTTCATACTTAGATAGCTATTATATAAGGATATAATATTTATGAAACGATTGCTTTCTTGAGATCCAAAGAAAAGATACAATAGCTCTTTATATATATATATTTATAGTGTGTACCTTCTATATCTTGTTGTCTGTCAACAAATGTTGTTCATTAATGAGTCATGCCTTTTTTGTAGAATACTAAAGCTTTTCATTAGTCGAGCAAGGAACTGTTTGAAGAATAATGAAATATGAAAGCATGTCGCAATCTTACCTTCACTTTATAGCTAACTGCAGCATAAATTTTTCAGAGACTGTCTGGACAGTTAAGCGACTTCCTTCCTAGCCTATTACAACAATAAAAACCGCTGCACGTCCAAGATGTCAGCTATCAAGGTGGGCGTCGTGATGTACTTTGCTCTTTACAAAACCAGAACAGATAAAATCTCGTTTTATATAATCTGTATGAAATGTTCATACTTTATCAAATTCATATCACTGTAATTCAAGTGTTAATTTAAAAATATAATACGAACAGAAATGACAAAATAGGTAGTAGTCAACAACACAGCATGTTGACGTGTCAAAGATAAAACATACAATAGATAGGATTTCCAACAGACCCAAGCAGAATCATATGTTATATTAATAAATATAGATGCATGAGTTCATCATTTACAATATCTATGCAGTTTTTAAAGACCTGGTCTTCCGTCAATCTCTTAAAATTCACATTGGTACAATTTATGCTCTTTTTATTAACTGACCTGTTTCGAACTCCTATGGAGCAGAATTTATTCAAAAACTTCAACATGAAAAGGGAAGGTCTGGTTGTTGCCTTTACTTCGACACTTCGACGACGTTTTATCAATTAACAATATTCATTTTTATTCATACATTGATTTAATATATGTCTCACTGTACTCGAAATAAAAGATACTAGAGTAACTGTCACATTTGTTCCATTTTAGATGTTTTATAGATGTTATGACATCTACCTTTCCATGTCAACTGCCCTTATTAATGTAGCAATATTCCTTTATCTCTTGCAAATTGTATTTATGTCTCGTAGTTGATTTAATAAGCAGAGGAATGTTCTGTGTACGTATAATTTCTAAACCAAGGAAGGCTAATGACAAACAAGTTAGGGTAGCAAAATGATCGTTTAAAGTCATTATTTTTGCAAAATTCGATGGTCTACATAATAACCTTGTTTGCGATTACAAACTGTCGTTGGGTCGAATGTTGCCTGACGTATTTAATACAAATTGTTAGGCACTTATGTTCATTCTGCATGTAAATTAAAGTCCAAATTATCTGCTTTTAGATAGAGGCGGCGCCTACACATGATTAGGTCCAACACTCTTCTCGTCTCCGCAACAGAAAACCATTTTCAATTAATTTCAGCTGAAAGTCGACTATTTGGACAGATGCCATTTTCGAATTTTGAAACATTGTTTCATGAATCATGTCAGGGAATTCAACAGGATATTTACCTATTAATGTGCACTTAGGTGAAACTACCGTTTGCTTCAGATAAGTTATCTTAATCTTTGACTTTCTATATCTTTCATTATATTGCTCACTACATAGGCATGTAAATTCTACAATTAATATAAGCTTTTATTTTCCTTTGAAACATTGCCCCCCCCCCCCCATGACGTTAATTTTCTATCTACTGATTGGGAAGAGTTCCTATAGCCTGTTTATAGGTACTTCACTAATAGCTTGTGTCTTTTTCAAATTAAATACAGCTAAAAACAATATTAAGAGTTGTTATACATATTTTGCTATCCTTTTCATTTGTTGAACACTAGGAATAAAGCATAACTTCTTGTTCTTGTAAGTTTTTTTTCAAAATTGAAACTGCTACATAAAAAAACTCAATTCATAATTATTCTACTACTGTATGAGTACTTAAAAATGCGGGCTTCATATTTTAGCGGCTTTGGTGCAGACAACGATGCGCTAATTCACGAATACCGCTTAGAAATTATTTATAGATACAATATACACCACGGACATGTATAGCTCTAATTCATGATTTTTTCTCCAACAACTCCATACCCTGTGATTGCGCTAAATTTTGAATACGCCAATTTATGTACACGTACAGTATGTCCACTCTTTTGCAATTTTGTTTTGCTTAAAATAGCAAACAATGATAATTTGTAGCATACAAGTCCATTTCATTGAAATCTATAGTACTTTATACAGGTCCTCTAGACCTATAAATGAACAATAAAGATAAAAGCATGTTCCTTTGATCTACACACTAAATTGTCGACGGATTTTTCCGTTATTTCCCGATCATGACAAGGAGCACACGGCGGGTGTGACTGGTCGGCAGGGGATGCTCACTCCTCCATGGCACCTGATCCCACCTCTGATGTTTAGAGGTCTGTGTTTGCTCTGCTCCTATTTTGTAATGTTTAATGGACTTTTGAGCTTGAATACTGTTTGTTATCTCCATATATTTCATCTAGAGAATCAGAAGTTCTGCAGAATATTAAAGTTCACTAAGACAGTCCATACGGCACTGATCATTCAACGAACACCCAGTCGTGAAATAGCCATAGATTTCAATGCTTGTCGATCACAACATATTGTCTTTCATCTGGTGTTTCACGTATCGCGCTGTTTCTTGGAATTTTTTTGTTTCTTGGAAGATTGGCCATGAGTGACCATTTTGCTATGCTTTCAAAGCTAAAAGTCTATATAATTATAATTTAGATACATTTTCTTTACTGATTGTTTAAATAGAAATTAGTGTCCTATTCAAATTCACAATGGATTTCATGTCCAAATATTGCCCAAGACTGATCTGCTGTAAAATGAGCTTCACTTCAATACTTTTATCGACTGACAATAGCTTCTTCAATTCGTATGTCGCCTCGATTTATCTCAGTGAACTCGAAATAAAAAAAAACACCATAGAATCTGCCAAATCTGTTTCATTTCTGAATATCTTACTGACTATAGACGATAAAGGGCAACAAAAAAACTTCAGCTTTTCCATCGCCAGTTTTCCTTATTTACGTAGTAATATTCCGCTATCACCTACATATGGTGTTTATGTCTCCCAACTTATTCGATACTCAGAATACTCTCTGAGTACGTGGAATTGTTAAACCTCGGTAGGCTTCTGAGAAATAAGTAGATGTTACAGGAATTTTAGAAACATCGTTTAAAGTTAGCATTTCCTAGCAAGTATATCCTATCTTTGGGTTGCATTATGACTGGAATATTTCAGGCCCTTTTTTTAATGCTAAATTTCACTACACATTACTACGTCTACCTGATCCGTGTTTTATTCCCTGTTCACAGATTTGTATTTTCTGAAGTCAATCAATCACTGTTCGCTATCTTCGCCATTTCATTTCGCTTCACTATACCAGTTATTACGTCAACAATCACTGTCCAGACTGACGGCTATTTTGGTAAAGCATATGTCTTTCTTGTGTTTTTCAATGTGTTAATCTTATACGGTACCAATTTGATGCACAAGAAGCACATTTTAACAAATTATGTCTCTTCAGTGACGCTCAATCATACAAAAACATTGGAAATCGAAAATATTTAATTTAAAAAAAACGAAGAGCTGAAAAAGGAGGTGCCAAAGACTGGAGCCAAATACGTTGAAGGATCAGATCTATGAACGAGGGAGATAATCCTAAATTTTGAAATAAATTTCTAAATTTTACCATAGCAATTAAATATATATCCGTATTTTCAAGCTAGTAACGAAGTACTTAGCTACTGTAGATCGAGACCCTCGGGAACTAACAGTCAAACCAGCAGAGGCCTCGATCCAGGGATCGATATGTAAATCTTATAATTTTAATTTCTTTCTGAAATATTATCATTCTTCCAGTCAAAATCTTTGATTTTACCGACAACCCTTTTATCCCGAACCTAATGTGTTTCTTTCTTTGTCTATCAAACCTCTTAAAGCAAGTAGGGTACTAAATGGTCAACGACTCCAAACT